ATATATATATAGTTTATTATGCTTATTAGTTAATTGTTCTCCATACATTTTAAAAAATAAAAACCAAATTAACAATTTAGTGAAATTTTCTGAGGACCCCCAAGATACATCTCGTGGACGCCTGGGGGTCCTGGGACCGCAGTTTGAGAAGCTCTGCTTGAACCCACACAGGTGCAACACCTGCAGCTGATGAAGTCTGGTCTTGGAAATGATTGAAAGTAAAAAATAAGACTCAACTAAATTAAGACTTTAGATGAAAATCTGGACATTTTAAAGACTTTTATTTTTAAGACTTTGGTTTATTTATGTCCACTGAAAATAAATTTATTTATTTATTATTTAAACTTGTTTGTTTGTCAAAGAAACTTTTATGAAAAAGCTAAAGTGAATAAATTAGATGTAAAGTCAAACAATACAGCTGATCTGTAATAATCAGTGTTTTTAACTAAAACTCATCAAATTCAGATTTTCCACCTCCTCATGTCTTACAGTAGATTTTACTCCCTGGACCAGGACCAGGACCAGGACTGGTTCTGTTCTGTTTTTCATCTCTTTTTTGTGTTTCGGACCATCAGAACCCGGACTACAACGGGTTCTCTGACGACCCGGAGCAGGACGTGTGGGAAATGAGGCTGGCCTTCTTCATGGGCATCTCTGTGTGCCTCGTCATCGGGTCGACCTTCGTCCATTATCTCCCGGACCCCAAGTGAGTCGTCCTCTCAGGGTCTTACCTGCAGAAGCGTGATGGTGTGTTTAAAGCTGGTTCTGGTGGTCCTCAGGATGCAGCAGTGGTCCAGGAGGGAAGCTGAGCGGCTCATCGTCCTCAGAGAGAAGGAGGGTCTCCCGCTCATCAACGAGAACTACTACGACCCGAGTACCATCATCCTGCCGGACCCTGAAGACGAGTAACTCTGCAGCTACTTCCTGTTTCCTGTAAATCACCTCCACAATAAATGTTCTTGTTTCATTAGTTTTATTTCTGGTTTTTATCTTTAAATCTGAGTCTGAACTCTTTGGTTCCTGAAACCTGATCCTGAACTTCCTGTTAAATCAAAACGGTTTTTACAAAATAAAAGCACGTAAACAGCCGAAGTAAAAACAAACAGTTCTGGTTTTTGGCACCGAGCTTCAGCTGTGATGAAGATGAAGTCCGAGTCGCGGGGCTGGATCAGACCCGGTTCACGGTTCCTGAAGAACTAAATCCTGAAGGTCTGGTTTGTTGCTCCAGCAGGAGGAGGAAGAGCGTCGATGATGATGATGATGATGATGATGTCAGTCCTGGATGGCAGGAAGGGGGGTCACAGGAACCCGACGGGAAAAGAAGCTGGACCCCCTGAAGAGCTGGTCCTGATGGAGGTTTAAGAGACACAAGAAGGAACGAGTCAGACTGAGGGACAGGATGTTTCTTTAAAGGGACAGTTTAAATTAAAGGGACAGTTCAGATTAAAGGGAGAGTTCAGATTAAAGGGAGAGTTTGAATAATTGAAACTGAGGTTCTGTGGAAACCAGCTGAAGATGGAGGTAGCTCACCTTCTGACTCAGGTGAGTCCAACAGGACAGCCAAGAGCTGAAGACAGGGGAGCGAGGAGGAAGACCTGCAGCCAGACTGAAAACAACCAATCAGAGTGCAGCATCACTTCCTGTTTGTTGGTAGAAATTAAAACGATAAATTTAAACAACCAATCAGAGTGCAGCATCACTTCCTGTTTGTTGGTAGAAATTAAAACATGAAACTTGCAGGCAGCTCCAGAGGGACTCACCCACAGTTGTTGACGGCCATCATGTCGGCCACCAGCGTGAAGGGATACGTCAGAACGCTCACGGCAATCTGAGGAAATAAAACCATTAAAACAACCGGAGAAACGTCTGAAACGGTTCAGATCAAAGAATCCACTCACTCCCATCACAAACTTGGTGTAGCTTCTCACAGCCGACGCCTGGCTGAACTGAAACAGAAAATAAAAACAGCTTAAAGAGTTTTTGTGCTGAAAGTTTCACGTCCTCTGAGGAGGACTCACTCCTTCGTCTGCAGCGTAGGTGTTGATGAGGTGAGCCAGGAGGTTACAGCACCACAGGAACAGGACTTCTCCCAGGACGTGAGGGACAAAACCCCTGCGGACAAACAGACGGGTCAGGACGATGCGGCTCACAGATCCAGTCAGGACAGGTCTGCTGGAGTTGGACTCACGCATAGAATCCAGACACCCCTTCTTCTTCAAAGATCCTCAGCAAACAGCCGAACACACCGCTGAAAAACAGACACAACCTGTCAAACAACCCATCTTTACCCCAGCTTTCACTGAGAGACAGGCAGGGGACACCTGGACATGTCTCCAGTCCATCACTAAGACACTTTGAGACAGGCTAGTCACTAATGAACCTAAGCTGATCTGTGGGAGGAAACTGAAGAAACTAAAACACACCTGTACACGAGGAGAACATGTAACCTCCACCCAGAAAGGCCAGGAATCGAACCTGTGACCTTCCTGAGAGATGACAGCTCTGACCGCTGCACCACTGTGCCACGAGACATTCAGCATCATTAAATGAATGCCAGAGGAATGACCTACGTTCACTGAGGAGCTGCTCACTTTGGTTTTATCCTTCAAAAACATGGCAACGTTCTGTTTCTGTGGATTCATGGATGTACCTGATGCTGATAATACACCTGAATTTCTCAGCATGGGACAATAAAGGCTGTTTCTATTCTATTCTAAAATAAAAGTATACAATTCTTCTTTAATAATGTTGGATGTATAGTTGATGGATGGATGGATGGATGGATGGATGGATGGATGGATGGATGGATGGATGGATGGATGGATGGATGAAGGATGTATGTTAGATGATGTATGATATATGGATGGATGTTGGACAGATGGATGTTGGATGTATGGATGAAGGATGTATGTTGGATGTATGGATGGATGGTTGGATGTATGTTGGATGGATGGTTGGATGTATGTTGGATGGATGATGGATGTACGTTGGATGGATGGATGAAGGATGTATGTTGGATGGACGATGGATGTATGGATGATGGATGGATGTTGGATGGATGGATGATGGATGATGGATGGATGTTGGATGGATGGATGGATGAAATATGTATAGATGATGGATGAAGGATGGATGGATGTATGGATGGATGGATGAATGATGGATGGATGGATGAAGGATGTATGTTGGATGGATGGAGGATGTACATTGGATGGATTGATGATGGATGGATGTTGGATGGATGGATGGATGGATGGATGAAATATGTATAGATGATGGATGAAGGATGGATGGATGGATGTATGGATGGATGAATGATGGATGGATGATGGATGGATGAAGGATGTATGCTGGATGGATGGATGGATGGATAAATGTAGGATGGATGGATGGATGGATGGATGGATGGATGGATGGATGGAAGGATAAATGTTGGATGGATGGATAATGTTGGAAGGATGGATGGATGGATGGATAAATGTTAGATGGATGGATGGATGGATGGATAAATGTTGGATGGATGGATGGATGGATGGAAGGTTAAATGATGGATGGTTGGATGGATGGAGGATGTACTGTATATTGGATGGATGAAGGATGGAAGGTTGGATGGATGAAGGATGTATGTTAGATGTATGGATGATGGATGAAGGATGTATGTTGGATGGATGGATGATGGATGGATGGATGTTGGATGGATGATGGATGGATGTCGGATGTATGGATGATGGATGGATGGATGTTGGATATATGGATGATGGATGGAGGATGTATGTTGGATGTATGGATGATGGATGATGGATGTATGGATGATGGATGGAGGATGTATGTTGGATGGATGGATGAAGGATATATAGATGATGGATGGATGGATGTTGGATGTATGGATGGATGATGGATGTATGGATGAAGGATGGAAGGTTGGGTGGATGAAGGATGTATGTTGGATGAATGATGGATGGATGGATGAAGGATGTATGTTGGATGGATGATGGATGTATGTTGGATGGATGGATGATGGATGTATGTTGGATGGATGGATGGTTGGATGGATGAAGGATGTATGTTGGATGTTTGGATGATGGATGAAGGATGGATGGTTGGATGGATGAAGGTTGTATGTTGGATGTATGGATGATGGATGAAGGATGGATGGTTGGATGGATGAAGGATGGATGGATGGATGGATGAAGGATGGATGGTTGGATGGATGAAGGATGTATGTTGGATGGATGGATGAAGGATGGATGGTTAGATGGATGAAGGATGTATGTTGGATGGATGGATGAAGGATGGATGGTTGGATGGATGAAGGATGTATGTTGGATGTATGGATGATGGATGAAGGATGGATGTAGTTCTCAGGTCTTACGTGTATTTGTTCTCTCTTCCAACAAACTGGGCCATGCAGCGCACCGACATGACTGCAGAAACAAAAACCATCCAATCAGAAACGACTCGACTTTCAGGTCATAAAAACAAAATTTTTCAGGTTCTGAAACTACGAGGCACCAAGAGTAAAAACAGCTACAAAATGTCACAAACACGTTTTCATTATTTAGCTTATTTGAGAAAAATTCTAGCTCAAATTTTTCCACAAACATTTTAATTTTATTTAGCTCACTGTTCTTACTTTACTAATTTTTTACAAAATGTTAAATTTAAATGTTAAATATGTAAATCTAAATACAAACATATAAATCTTAAATGCAGCTAAATGTTAAAGTCTACATTCAAATTATTTCAGAATGGAATGCAGCCTTTGCTGTTGTGGTTGTGACATCATCATCCTGTGACAAAAGCAGCTGTTAACTCTGCTAATGCTACTAACACTGCTAACACTGCTAACTCTGCTAACTGCTGTAACTGCTCAATCTGTCCTGGATGCACAGTTTGCACCGTCAGCTTATTTGCGCTAAAAGAAACACTTCCAGTAGGGCTGTTTGTTTTTAGCATGTAGCATTTAGCTACACCTGGTCTTCAAACTGACCTACCCCCCCCCCCCCAACATTTCAACTTAACATTTGGTAAAAATTTGCAAAATGTAAGAACAGTGAGCTAAATAACAATAAATCAAATAAAATTAGACTTTTATACTCAGAAATTGAGCTGCATAATGAAAATGTGACATTTTATTTTCCACTTGGCACAGATAAGACTGATAACATGAACCCGATGTTAGTATTTTAAATTAGCTCTGTAATTAAAATAACCGTTAAAGACTGATTCAGGACGCACCATGGAAAGGATGGGTGGCCACTCGGGACAGGCACTGGATGATCATTTCATATGACGTCTAAAGATAAAAACAAGTTGAAGAAACAGTTTTATTTTATTTTAAAATAAAAAGTTTCAGCAGGTGTTTGATTTCAGCTTTAAATCAAACTGAATGTTTTGTTGGACCAGCTGACCTCTCACCTCTCTGAAGACTTTCCTGAGTGAGCTCTGCTCGTCGCTTTTCTTTGATCGATGTTCCACCTGAGAAAAAACAAAAACTTGAAGATTCCTACAGCTTATACACAAATTCAAACATCTCCAGAAAATCTAAAAATATTAATCAACATGTCTCCCAGGACCAGACCCCGCTGTGGTAAACCAGTCTTTCAGTTCCTGCTCACCTGTTTAACTTTCCCTCTGATGACGGTGGAGACGATGCTGGACACGAGACGAGGCGAGAGGCCACGGAAGAGTCCCGTCTTCCCGTCCACTTTTACGATGTACCGAGCTGAAAACAGAGTCACTTCCTGTCAGCTGACTTCAAATCCTCCACTCAGACTTCAGAGTCAAAACCAGACCGATGGTACAAAAATCAACAAGTCACATGACGCCCAGAGAGGGCATCAGGGTTCAGAGTGTCGGGGTTCAGAGTGTCAGGGTTCAGAGTGTCGGGGTTCAGAGTGTCGGGTTCAGAGTGTCGGGGTTCAGAGTGTCAGGGTTCAGAGTGTCAGGGTTCAGAGTGTCGGGGTTCAGAGTGTCGGGGTTCAGAGTGTCAGGGTTCAGAGTGTCAGGGTTCAGAGTGTCAGGGTTCAGAGTGTCGGGGTTCAGAGTGTCGGAATTCAGAGTGTCAGGGTTCAGAGTGTCGGGGTTTAGAGTGTCAGGGTTCAGAGTGTCAGGGTTCAGAGTGTCGGGGTTCAGAGTGTCGGAATTCAGAGTGTCGGGGTTCAGAGTGTTGGGGTTCAGAGTGTCGGGGTTCAGTGTCGAGGTTCAGAGTGTTGGGGTTCAGAGTATCGGGGTTCAGAGTGTGGGTTCAGAGTGTCGGGGTTCAGTGTCGAGGTTCAGAGTGTT